TAATTTATTACATTGCATTTTTCTCAACAAGTAATTATGATAACGATTGATTGTCATTAATAAGTAACTATACCGGTGTATAATACATAATATACAATATGAACAGCATGAACTTACATCAAATTGGGTTTTAAATAACTTAGCTATATAATTTTATTAAAAATTATGACAGGTATCCACCACACCTCTGGATCGAGTCACCTTCGAACGAGCCAAGGACTATCAATTGTTCAAAATCATACCAACGTCGCTTAAAAGATCAATTTTACAATCCACACCCATGAATTTAAAATTTTATTGAAGTAATTAAATAACACCAAGTAGAAGTATACTTAGAGTTAAAATAAATTGGACAAAAAAATTGATTCGTGCTTATGGGTTAAAAAGATATTTATTTTTTGCGCTTATTGGGTACAAAAAATAAATTATTTTATTTATATAAAAAGATCGATAAAATTGAAGCTAATATTTTTTCACGTCAATAATAACCTCGAACAACATACATTTTTTTCAAACTAAAGAAATCGTCTGTTGTGTTTTTGATTATCCATTAATTATAATATTTTTTGATATTCTACACTCTACGCCATTATCTACTGTGGTAACGTAGTGTGTGTCACCTCATCCATTGCAACAGTCAATAGTCAGTTGTATACATATAATTTTCTTAATTTTTTAATTTTTCCGTTAGGTAAATAAACGAAACACCTGAAAAGTAACCGTCCCTATTGTTCACATAATTCATGCAAAGAATTTTAATAATTTAGTAACATAATCAAAAGGAATGGCAATGATATTATAATTTACTTTAAGTTCAAAAGTTAATTTGTTTAAGTTTTTAACTTGACAAATTTCCTTGACAATAACTTAACTAATAAATCTGAGTGGAGCGAAGCGTCATGCAATGAGTTTATTGATTTTACAATGATGTGATGTGCTTTGTGTGTGTGTGTGTGTGTGTGTGTGTGTGTGTGTGTGTGTGTCTATAAAATATAAATACAATTAATCGAAAAGTTTAATCATTTTCTAAACAATAAAATACATTTTAAGATATTTTGACTCTTTTTAAACTTTTTACGTATAATAATTTTAAAATTAAATTTTTATTTTAATAGATGCCAATAAAAAATTATTCTAAAAATAGAAGTAATTATTTCAAGGTTTCTCATAATTTGTTCATTTACCAATTAAATATGTTAAATTAAAAAAGTTATATGGTTAAACTATGATCAATGATATTCGTTATTTTATAATAGTTAAAATCATTACCTATACGTGGAGATAAGTATAAAACTTTTATAAACGCGTAATATACGCTGAAAACAAAAACAACGCCCTAAACTGTCAATTGTTATAAAAGTTTACCTTTTATCTCGATAAAAAATAAAATATTAATCGACTTTATAAACATATATATTGGTTTTTCAAAACTATTCCGATAGTTGAAATTTCATTATTTAATTATTCGTGGTCTCGTGTTTTTTTGATCGAATTTTCGCCAATCGCCAGTTAATCTAACGATCGATCTCGAATACATCTGCATTAGTAGATATACTTGAAACTTGTATTAGGTGAACACTACAATCACTGATTTGACGTCTTACTAAATCAACTAAAACCTAAGAGTACAAAATACTTATATTTTATATTATACAACTTATTTAAAAAACATATGTATTAGGCTATTGGCCAATAAACTCAATAGTTTGCAAGACATAGCTAATGTGCAAGTGGGTTTCAATCCACACTATCGAAAAGATTTGTACATCGATATCAAAATAATTATAGTCTATAGATATATTTTCATCTAAAAGCATAAATAGGTGTATAACATTCGATGAATTATGTATAAGCTATTAAAAAATGATTATTCATGTTTATTTCGTTTAATGCCTACCTATAATAATGTTTATATATTATAGAAGCACATTATTAAATTTGATCAATCCATTGAATTCGATGATTGCGTATTTTTTATTTTTTTTTTTTTTTTGCACCAATTGAGAACATTCGTTGTAGTTGTTAATCGAATATTTGTGTCGTATGAAACCAGTTATATAGACTCGTACGCCAGTTATACCTGCAGCCAGTTGGATTATAATATTATATTTGTTTGGAGTATAGATAGGTATTTTTGTTACTCAAAAACAAACCAACGACGACGTTTCCTAATAATAAAAATAATAATACGAGTAGTCACTCGCGTGGATGTCGAAATAAATTGACGGAAATTTATGGAAAAATAAATTCACTGTACAGTGCGTAATATTGCCATAGACATTATACAAACCTCATAAGTCGGCTCTGCCTATATCACTAATATGTTATGTGACGTAATAAACCGAGATCGATATCACGATTTTGTTGACTAAGTGAACGATACAAAGCGTGCACAGTTATGTGGAGTTATTATACAAGTCCAACAATTAAGTTCCCTTTAATAACACAGAAATTCAAAATCTGAATTTTTGTAAGTTTCAAATATATCCCTACCTAAAAAATTAAAAACTATTTTATTTTTTTAACTTGATAGATTTTTTACACTCAAGGAGTTAGAAAAACAGAAAATTATGTCAACGAGGCATCACAGCAGAACGCTCTTTAAGTGATACAAAAAAATTCAATAATTTAAAATTAATAATCTTCATGCATAATTAAGTCTTAACAACTGATTTTGAATAACTGTATTGTTACAAAGAACCACAAACGTATACTTAGAGAATCGTTCAACATAATATTGTGTATTTCATAACATGATACCAATCCAATTTGAATTCACATGACCAATCTATGAGTAGTGTTGTACAATTTATGATGTATACAGTTGTACGCGGAGAACGCGGAAACCGTGTCAAACCATTTAAACAATATAATACTCGTACTTTTAAAACGTCTCCCGACAGTATTTAAATTTTAAACGACCTCGGTCGAGGGGCAAACCGAACATAAAATTTAAAAGTAAAAAAAAAAAACGGCAAGACAAAACAACGGCGATATTCGATGAGACCCGTTAAAACGGGTTTTTTTTTTATAATAATATGTTCGCAAGTCTATGCCATTATTATTATTATTATTATTACTACTACTACACTACGCGTGACAGTGTAGTTAGCAAACGTGAGCGGACACGAACAAGTCGGTCGGCGTTGTAGGGGTGGCTGGAGGAGGGACAAGGGAAATGGCGATGTCGAAAAACTGTACACTCGGTCGTATATAATGTGTAAATAGATATAATAATATAAAAAAATAATATGAAATTCATTTTTTTCTCTCGTACTGCACAATAATACAATCAAGTTTAATGATATATTATATAATATATTATATTTATGTATATATATTATATATTACAATAATATGGATATTTTTTATAATAAAATAATAATAATAATTAAAATAATAATATATAGATAGTAGAAAACAATAACAATCTTATATTATGTAATAATAATATTATGTACAGGTTGTTAAATCATACGCACGTTATAGGTACGTCATATTATAAAACATAAACTTTTGCATTGTACAAGTTTAAAAAATAAAAACTTACGATTATTATAAATAATTTATTACAGAATAAGTTTCATTACGATGAATAACATAAATAAAAATCATAATATTATAGTGATCGTACAAATAAATTAATAAATAAATATTATTATATTGTAATATTCTTAGACAATAAAACGCGAGTACGCGCATATAATATAATATTGTATAAGCATGTATTATATTATATAGTATTCAATATTGTGATGCAAATGCACAACAATATATCAATATATTGAAATAGTATGCCTTTCTTCGCTGTATTATCTATCATATTAATCGTACAATTACTGAAATATCAAATATCAACTATTTTATTGTGCCGACGTTTTTCGGCACGTAAAAATACACCAAAAACACAAAAACCGAACAAAAGCAATATACGATTAAACGTTTATCACAGATAAATTTTATTCGGCATCAAGACCGTGTGAGATGAAGGTGAACGGAGTGGCTCCAAAAATTCGGAAGCATGGGCTTTCGAAGTATTTTTTTTTCAATTTTATTTAGTTTTCCGACATTATGTTTTAGAAATGCTTTATAGATTTTTACCGTTCTATAGTCAAATCTCGACCCGGTTACCAACACCTCACCGTAACAAATATTTCTGAAAATCTCGTCAATGATATTATATAACCGACGACTGCGGTGAAAAGAACGTTTTGTTTTGCATTATTGGTATTACACCACAGGTCACGGTTTATGATACGGTACACGTCTATGAAATAATATTTTAGCTAAAGCAACGTTCTCGCCTAAACCCCGTTCGTTTGAATGTTTTTGGCGTAACGTATTAAATATATTTATACTTTATACACACACACACACCTATATAATATGCATAGATATTATATATAGTGTACGTACAGGGCGATTCTCTCAACACGGTTATCGTTCACGTGTAGTACAAATAGAATTCGTGTTGCGTTCCACCGTTATGGATAACCACCACGGCGTTCGGTGCGAGAATCGCCCCCTACGTATTTAATATGTTATTGTTACAAGATTATTTACACTTAAAATTAATCTGACGAACGCCATTGATGAGCGAAAAAAGTAAACTTTAAATTTGCTGTTTACGATTTTACTCACCCCCCTCCAAGTAACCCCCGTCCATGTAATTGTTTGCGCCTGTGCTGGTCAATACTAATTACTCAATCAAATGTACGCTCGTCGTTAAAAAAAAAAAAAACAACAATAATTTTATTATTTCGAGTTTGATAATAACAATAATAACATCATAATATTATTATCTATTTTATAGTAATATAAAAGACATTCGGTGGGCGACGAAAACGTGTACGAATGATTTATGAAACATTGTCAAAACTACCAGATTTTAATAATAATAATAATATAATGATGATAATAATAATAATAATAATAATAATAATAAAAATAATAATGATAAAAAAAAAAAAATGTATAATAAAAAATAATAATTTATCTATGAATTCGCGTGCGAACGTATAACAATATTACAAATACCTGTGAATCGCAATAACGAATATAATAACTATCCGTCGTGAACGGCCGTCATCGCAGCGGATCAGTTGACCGCAACGGTAGTGGACTGGGCCGGGGCCGCGGTGGCCGACTTTCTGGACGACAGCATGTTCTTGAGACTGGCCACCTCGGACGCCAGCCGGGCCACCTCGGACTTGAGCCTGGTGTCGTCGGCGGCGGCCGTCGGGGCGGTCGCGTGCACGGCACCGTCGGCCGGTTCGCCGCTCATCGTGACCGCGGCCGGCGACTGCATGGCGGCGGCGCGGGGCGCGGCCACCGAGGCGCCGGTGGGGCAAGCGGCCACCGCGGCGGACGACGGCCGGACGCCCCATTCGACGCCCAGGCTGATGCCGGAGTCGCGCTCGTCGCTGCTGCCCTCCGCGTCCCACGGCGGACTGGCCCGGCTGCTTCCCGGCTCCTGCTTGATGGCCTGCAGCGATAGCAGCGCCGTGGCCGCCACGTCCTTGTCGCCCAAGTGCGTCTTGTGGCGGAGCTTGTGCGGCAGACAGTTGCCGCCGCCGTTGCCTGCGCCGCCGCCGTTCACGATGGCCGCGATGTTGTTGCCGTTCACGCCGCCGATGATTCCCGCGTTGTTGTCGTTGGCGTGCACCATGGAAACGCTGTTGTTGCCGTTCAGGACGGCGATCGGCACTCCTCCGCCGACGCCGCTGGTCATCATGGCCATCATGCCGTTGCCGTTAAAATGGTGTCGGTGCCGGTGCTGAAGGTGATGACTGCCGTTGCTGTTGTTGTTGCTGCTGCTGCTATTGTTGTTGCCGTTCCCGACTAACGTGCCGCCCGGTCCGACGACTCCGCCGGCCGCCGCGGCAGCGGCCGCGGCCACGAACGCTAGAGATATGGGCACGCAGGACGACGAAGTGTCGTCGCCACTGCCGCTGCTCAGCTCGTACGGGGACTGCGGCCGGCGGCTGAGGTTCAGTACGCTGTTGGCGGCCGCTTCGAACGACGGCGGCTGCAGTGGCGGCAGGACGGGTGCGAACGGGTACGGCGGGTACCCGGCTTGAGCCGCGGCGGCCACGGCTGCGGCGGCCACGGACATCGGTAGACCATTGACGCCGTTCGAACGGTCGCCCTGTTGCTGTTGCTGCTGCTGCTGTTGCTGTTGCTGCTGTTGGAGTTGGTGTTGGTCGACGGGACTACCGCAGTCGGACTGTGCGCCGCCGTAGTACGAGCCGTTCATTTTGGGCGTGGTCGACTGGACGGGTTGGTGGATGACTGACGTGGGTATGGGACCTGACCCGTTCTGCGAGTAACCCACCGACGAAGACGACGATGACGTGGACAGTTTCGGGCGTTTCGTGATGCTCAACACTTGTTCGTTTGTCGGCAGAGAAGCCATAACCTGAGGGTGGGGCAAAAGAAAAACCGACGTTAGTCTTAGTATACCAATTTGATGTGGTCTATCTCAATGCGCAAGTAGCGGATTTTTATTAAGTGAAGAATTCATATCATAGTTGATTTATGGATTGTTCGGAATCTTTCGTTAACATTTAAATGTATTGTGCACCATTAACTTAATATTCGTTTATGCAGATCGGTCGTCCGATTGTGGCACATTATATGTATTAGATAAAATGGATTTCAATAAGTTCAGAGAGAAAACACGACCTAAAACCTAGGAAGTACATCACCTCATCGGGCTTATCGGAAAAAAATTGTTTGGATAACAAGCAGCGCTATATTACTATTCAAACTTTGACTATCGTAATGTACCCCCCCCCCCCGCTCCACATATTATGTATTTACATTTCTGATATAATTGTATAACGCGATCAGATTTGAGCAAATCTCTCATAAAACGATTTTTAATAACCAACATTAAATAACGCATTCTATTGACGCTGTTCAAATCATTACCTGTTCAACGCTGACCACAGCTTCGCCACTAATGCCAAACTTGTCCTTAATGGCAGAGAGTTGAGCCTTGAGCACGTGATTCTCCTTGCTCAGCTCGACCACTCGCTGCTCGAGGATCATGTCGTTGAACCTCCTTTTTTCACGGGATCGCTTGGCCGCTTCATTGTTCCGCCGCCTCCGGTCCCAGTAGCTTTCGTCCTTCTTGTTATCTGGTATGAATTCACGCTGTTTACGCTGCGCAAAGAACTCCTTGTGCTGCAGGTGCGCTGTCAGGTCGAATCCAGGTGGGTATGGTTCACCAGGACCTGGTGATTCCGGTCCAGGTGATACCGAATCATCGTACCTCATACTCCCTGGACCACCCGACTGTTCCATGTCACTACAGTACTGCGGCATGACTCCGCCACTGTTTTGCTGCTGTTGTTGGCGTTGCAAATGGATTTGGTGAAGTTGTTGTTGCTGTTGCTGATGAAGTTTCTGTTGCTGTTGTTGGTGATGGTGCTGCTGTTGCTGTTGTTGCTGATGCTGGTTTGGCTGTTGTAGTTGTTGTGGCTGAGTTTTCTGTTGATGATGATAACTGCTAGCCGTGTCCGCTACCATTTCTCAATCTAAAAAAAAAAAAAAAACACATACGTGAATATAAGTTTCACACCGTAAATATATAATTATTAATTACATATATTATATTATATTAAGTCGACGTAATTCTCTGAGTCAGATAAAATTCTAAAACAAATTCCTTAAAACTACCTAGACAAATTAAAAGCAACTTATGATGCAGATTATATTGAGGTCAAAAAACCTTTTCTCGTATTGCATGTGTTTCACTATAATATAGTTTGTTAAGAAGTTTAATCTTGAGGGAAGTTCGCATTTGGATGAAAAATGAGTAGATCGATAAAAATAAATCAATTGTTGGCGTTATCCGAGTACACTAACTTAACCTTGGCAACGCGTAATTCGTGAAAACATTCAAACCAGCTATTCCCGTGAAATTATTAGGGCTACATATCAGGGGAGGGATTTAATGCAGTAAAAATAAACGACGTTGAAGACGGTTCAGGAAAATCTGTGACGTATATATATTTAATATTTTGTATTATACTATACGATTGGTTATATCGGAACACGCGCAATGTATAACCAACCTTGAAAAAAACGTTAATACAACGACAGTAGGGAATTCCAAAGCTATTATTTCGCAACAGACACGTGCCGTGGTCAAAAATTACTACATACTCCCTCCCCTCCCTTCATCCACCTACAATAGACATACTCACGAGGAGGCGTCGGAAAAGTCCCCTCCACCGATCATTGGAATCCAAGAATATACGGTCAAACGGAATCAAAAAATTTTATATCTGCGATTTTTATAATAATTATTATTTATTACATACCAGTGATGTTACTGCTACACGACCGATATGAACACATTCGCATTACCAATAGATATTAGTGATATTACATATTATTAATAAATATGTTGTAGAGCTAACTTCTATATGGCCATCGAGTTATAACACAATAATAAGTAATAACACGTATATCATAATTGTATAAGTACACAATATTATATAAATCGCCGTACCGGCCAAGGACAACAAGATCGAGGAAATACAATAATAATATAAACCGAGCAAGGTCACCCGTAACGATATCCGACGATGTCTTAACACTGGTTCCGTTCAGCGAATATTTTTTCCATATTTACACGGTATCACACAAGTGGTGTTATTTTATATAATACCCGGTGTAGTAAAAGGTATAGATAAAGGTAGCTTTGCAGCAGCATGCGCGTGGCTAACCCGTTTAGTAAAAAGCGAATGGATTGCTCGATTAAAATTGCCGTGGTTACATTCGACTAATTATATAATATTATTATTTATTAATTTAACCTTTTGAAAATAATATCGTCGAGGTGAATGCCGTTCGTATAGATTGTTGTGGCATATGTTACGTATCCAACTGGTACTAGCCCGACGATAAGTGATCCTAGGATCGACCAAAGCCAAAATGTATAACCGATTACGATCGAAACTTGTCAGCTGTGTCATGAACATAGCTTTAATTCAATATATATAATATGATGTATTTTGTATTAATTAATCCTGAATAAAACGGCTTTATTTTTCCATAACAAATACTGCAAAATAATATAATTTAATAGAAATAATGATATTGAATACTGAACGTGAGGCCATTCACATGTATATACGGTTATATAACAGCCCCCACTTAGTAGAGTGTTTACGCGATATTGTCAAGTGCAGAGTACCTACATATTATTTTAAAAGTATAAAATCGTATATAAATGTATGATAAATAGTATGGCAACTGTTTATAAACAGAAGAGTGTTCATCACCACTATCAAAATAGTAATGTGATTTCCAAATAATTATTCTTTTCCATAAAATTGTAGATATTGATTCCATTTCGGAATATGAATACTGCCTGAAATAAAGTGTAGAGAATTTAGAAAATAAGATTGTGATCGCGTCCAAACATCAAATTCGCAAACATTTCATGTATGTACAATGCAATAATAATATTGTAGGTACCGAATATTGAAATTAATTAACTAAAAGACTTTCCTTAACAATGGCTATCGTTAAGTCGGCACAACGTCGAGTATATAAATATTATAATATTGACGGAGATAATATTACAGTAATGATAAGTGATTATTATAAACTATTAAAAATGATCGTTGATATGTCTACATTCTACATTACTATCGGCCGTGATCATCCCGAATAAATGGATAGTAGGTAGGGTACTCGGTAAGTACGTGCACGTCATACTATGATGACATTATATGATAATTTGTGGACCTCATCGGCAGTCGTTCAATTCGTCGTACAACTCATCACTCGGGCTTACACATATTATTATTATCGTAATTTGTTCGTACATAATAATATTGTAGCGTCGGCGGAGAAAAATACGGTAGAGCAGTAAGTTGTCGTCATCGTTATCCAAGTCGAGTGTTGTCACCGTTTTGTAATACGCGACGTTATTATTACAAAAAAATATTATTTCGCTAATGTACTAGAATTTTTTTTTTATCGTAATTTTCCTATCCCTCGTCTCGTGTTTTTCCCGAAACGTTTTTGTTTCAGTTGACGCACGAGACTATGCATAAATGCAGCCTCATAAATGAACACACCGAATTATTATAAGCATACTCAATAATAATAACGTCGATAATAACAGTGTCTCGTCGCTTTTAATACTATTAAAGGACGTTTTATGCAAATAGCCCATGCCGTACCCGTTGGCGGACTGGCAATCGCAATTTTACTTTTACATTAAAGGCAATCTGTTTATGAGCGTGGTACACGGATTTTATCCACAGGGTTTCGGAGACAATCTAAAAGTATTAAAGTTCTTTACAAGTATTCAACTTAATTAGTTTATTTAAGCTTAAAAGTTTTATCCTGACATTGGCCCGTGGAGATAACGTTTTTTTAACCACTATTGTTCTCTAACCTAAGTTTGACTACACAAAATAATCATTGATCACATAATATAATATTTAATTAATCATTTACATTCCCATATCAAGGACATATAAGGTATTAAATTATAATTATTTATAAATGGTGTATGTTTTTCTAAATCAAACATTAATTTGATATAATATGTAATATAATTTACACTTGATAAATAACATTTTTAATATTACTATATTATATCTACATATTAAAGCCTTAAAAAAAAATTTTGATGTAAATAAATACGTACAATAATCTCTCATAAATTTATATTTTCCTTATTGAGCAGCTAGCTTATGAAGAAGGTAGGGAATTAATATTACGTATTTAAAATGGAATTTATTATGCTTACAAATTATGATAACCAGATATTAATATTACAATCAAGTTCGCCTAAAAATTTAAAAAAGTTCTACACTTATGAATTTGGTAATGATGGCACCTGGTCCTCGTTATAAAACTGCAATTATGTTATTACACATAAAAATACTTAACATCAGAATCATATTATTAAAGTGTTATGATAATAATATCGACATCACAATAACGATGTTGTAACGAGCGTGTGGACGTCGACCCCGCGGCGAGCGACGGGTTACGGTTGTGTCTTATCACTGTATTAATAATATATTATTGCTATTGATAAACAACTGCAGCTACCGTCTTGCGCAATCAAACAGTTTTTTAATTTCCCTTTTTCTGTCTTCACCCTTCCGACGACGATATAAACATTATAAACAGCAAAGGACGCACACAATAATAATACAATATATTTTATAATCATTGTTGATTTGTATTTTATTAACAGACCGATTAAATCAACGGGTACGTGGATATTGTCTGTTCCAAGAAAACACTAAAAGGTACACAGGCACACAACGCAAGTACACCGGCTAATGATAATAATAACGATAACGATAATAACGTAGGTACGTCTGACAAAGTCGGGTCATTTATACGTAGGTAAAGTAGGTAACTATACAACGAATAAAATATACTCTATATCGCGGCGATCAGATCATCGATATATTGTGTGTAATAATATTTGTGGAGCAACTGAAAGAAAAAACAAATGCAATCGTTGCGGTATTCAATCGAAATCGGGTGGGGCAAAATGGCGATACATAATATTATACACACAATGAAACGCATTACGCGGGTTTATGTAATAATATCATGCACGCACGCATTATTATGCTTGTATACGTTTTGAAATCGTCCGATGACATTGTGCGCGAATTTTACGCGTCGTAAAAACCTCAACGGCCTTGGACGTGTTACACACGACTCGGGTTGAGCAAAAAGCAATGTGTGTGTGTGTGTGTGTGTGTATGTGAGAGAGAAAAATTAAATAAATAAACGAAATAAAATAAAATAAAAATATATACACTGCCAAACGTCGCCGCCGCCAAGCAAAAGTGCTCGGCGCGTATACATATATTATTACTATTATAATATTTTTATTATTATGAGATAATCGTCGTCGTGTTGGGCGTGCTGTTGTTTTTTCATAATTTCGCGCGCGCTGAAGATAATACGCGATCGTATAATATAATAATACGATGATCATTGTGTGGGATCTTGTAGGCCAACTCGCTCCGACCGTCTTGGCCTTCACCTTCAAGGTGAAGTTTATGCATTATATATTGTTACCTACGTTGTACGAAACGATTTTCATACAAAATTTTTGCCAATGTTAGGACCGAGATTGATTTTGGGTTGTTTTTTTCATCCTCGACGATTTTTGATTCGTTTCGTTTTATCGTTATATTATCGTATATAATATAATATATAAATATTATAATTTTGCATAAGGCAAATTAATCGTTATAATACGCCCGTGTCATAATACTACGTGTTGTCGACGCGCTCAATTGTTATTTAACAGTGTGCAGTCGTCGCAGACCAGTTATTTGTGTTTATCATATTAAACTGTATATATATATCTACATACACATGCAGTTTTTTTCATTTTTAGCTCTGCGAATATTTTTATGCGCCGGCCTTTGGCACATAGTCGTCCTCTTGGCCCCCGAACCCGTGCGTCGTGTGTACGGACGATTTCGCTTGCGCACCGATCCGCGTGAACAATACGACCCCCACTACCGAGCCC